TTGGTGTAGATTAGATGCGGATTTCGGTGTGGGTGGGTGTGTATGAGGTGAATGAGAACATCAACACTCACACCCACACCCCACACCCACGTTCACAGCCACGCCCTCCACGCACACCCCACATCCACACCCACCCACACAGACACCCCACACTTACACCCACACCCACACCGACACCCCGCACTTACACCCACACCCACACGCACACCCGTCCACACCCACATCCCACGCTCATACCCACACCCACACCCTCACCCTCACCCACACCCACCCATACCCACCCACACCCACACCCAAACCCTATTATTGAGTAGAGTATCGAAAGCATCGTTAGTTGGGGTGAGAGGTTTTGAATAAGGTATATTTATTTATATAAAAAATCTTCAAATAAGAATCCATAATAAACATTGACTTTTCTCGCTTCTAAGACAGATCTCTTTCGTAGCGCAGTTTTTTCTAAGAAATGCCGTAACTATGTAAATAAAAAGTATATTTCCATATATTATCGACATCGCTCTACACGATGATCATATTGGTTTCGAGTAATTGAGTAGGTCAACTTCATCCACTAAGGTGTACCGTTACGTGGACAGGCCGACTTGCAAGTTTTTTCAAAGTCTATCCCATGTGGCTGTACTTAAAAATTTCAGCAGTATTCATTTGTCTTTTTTACTCACAGATGGATGAAACTCGGAGGATTACGTAAGAAACAAAAAACATATCATACATATTTAAAAGTGATTTTTTTACAACAGTCAGAATTTTCTGTCTATTACCAATGTAACTCGCTGAGCTCTGTTCAACCATTATGAGAAACAGAAAAATCCATGACTCTGAAATTTTGAAGTGTAACCACTAGAAGCACTTCGAATTCAAATTTTTCGAACTCGAACTCGCCCAGAGTCAAACTGATAGGCTCTAGTGACTACATCGTATAGACTGTTAATACTTTGCAAATCTAATACGATGTGTGGGTGTCAGTGTCTGTGTCTATTCTACTCTACACCCACACCCTCCTGAGGGTGGGTGCAAAGATCGCTATATATCTTCTGATAGAATTTTCAGAAAGAGCTAGAAATATGAATTTAAAAGTCACTTTTCATGATCTTTCTGCAGTATCACAATGCATTAACGACGATTTTACAACATCAACTTTTGAAGTACTTGTTATAACTTGCACATAACAACGATCATTGGACATAAAAACTATTCAAAATAGGCTTTGAATATATGCCATTATGAATCATCTAAATAATATTAAATAAAATATGCATGCATACTTTTAATATTTTCAAGAATTATGTTCACAAGACATCCTAAATTTTCCATACGCATACCTTCAGTCGGAAGTCAAGTGAGGCGTAGCGACGAGAGTTACTTGTTGATGATTTGCCAAATGACAAGATAGATGTAGGAGTATGTTGATGATAACGATACTTTAGCTTTATCCCTAGAAGACAAAGTTCCAGTTGTATTTGACGATTTACATATAAATTCATCAGATAATGTTAAAGAAAACTTGAATTACTTATTGTTCTATTTCGATAATAAATGAATGAAAGAAATTCATTTATCCTTGTATAAATAACATATACAAAAGTAACTGCTTTTTTTACTATTCCATATACAATCAAATTTCTCTATGGATTTTCATGATCGATTACATCATCGTATTGAAAGATCTTGTCCCAATATTTGTTTATTGATTGATTGCTTTTAAGGTAAGGAGTATCGATTTAAATACATGTTGATACAAATAAATATTAATGTTCAGCGTGGATCAAAAACAGTAGCAAAGCAACACAAATACTCTCAAAAGTTTAACATATATTGTGACTATTAATATTTTTTCTGTATCACTATTTATTACTATATCTCTCATAAGTTAATTTTAACGATCTGAATTTTCGTAAGTTAATATATTCAACATTTTCTTTTCCTTTGGTGTTTTCTATGTATATCTCAGTCTTCAATCTACTGGTATACATGATGTAATATTCTCTTTTTATTTACTGTCTTTTGTGAAAATACCAATATATATATAAATATATATGAATGCATATATCCCACACTCATAGCAATCATTTTCTAATTATGAGATAAATGAATGATATTTGTTGCAGCTATCACACTGATTCAAATCTTTATTTTGATATTTAAATCTTTATTGAAATTAGGAAAATGAAAAAGAAAAATATAAAAATGAACGAAAAAAGTGAAAAGTGTTTGTTGATGGCTTGAGCAATGCCAAGTTAGAACCTTGAATGAAGATTTTGAATATGGATGCACCATATTTCCTGAAAGTAAAAGGAATATATAATAAATTCAAATGGAAACTACTACTTAGTAAAACAATATACCTGGTTTATTTCTGAAGATCATAACCACAATAACAAAGACCAGTAACAGAACAACCACAAGAAGAAGGACAACGAAGACAACGACGAACACGCATTTTTCCAATCATTTCAGACATTCTGGGGAAGTCGTCGACCCATGATTGTTTGGCATCGTCTGCGATGCAAACTGATAAAACAATAGCAAAAATTGCGATAGCAATAAATATGTATATGGTCTTTTGCATTTCTTTTTTTCGTTAATAGCAATAAATATTAGATTATGTTTTTTATCGATCTAATGTATAGTGAAAATGTTAGTGATTATGATGATACAGCTGTGTTCTCGTCTTTATATATATGTAGATCACCATTAAAGAAGTAATGCATGACAAAACCTTTCGTTCTACTGAAATCAATGAGGCATGCATATCGTACACGTTTGTTCACGACGCAATATTCGTCATGAGGAATGAAAAAAAGCATTTTCGAATGATACCTACAAAAGAAAAGATATATTTGGGACGTCATTTCGTCGATTATGACTAAAAGCCACGCCTAAGAAATATGCATAACGCAATACATTCTATTACTCATCACAGCATTAACGTGAAAATGTTAAAATGACGTCAAGAACATTGCTATTTTTAAAACAGCAGCTAAATAAAACTAAAAGAATATCTTTAAAATAGTGAATCCCTGCCAATAAGTTTTCTGGATCTGATGAAATTCTTTTCGAATGATGGATGTCAACCTTAATCTCAGAATAAATATGATAAATTTTCAAATGCAAAGTATAAAATGATGTTTAATTTTACTAAGAAGAACTCACATTCGAAAATTTAACCTATTTTTTACTGAAAATAATAGCAATATGGATTATAGAAAAAAACAAGGATTAAACTGAGCCTGAAAAAATACGATGAATAGACGATCAAACAATGAATGATATATATAATTGACAAGTATTTATTTGAGTCATGAAAATATTGGATTGAGCAATAGTTTTTGAGAAAAAAAAGAAAACTATCTTTGAGCAATTTTATAATATTAAATGCACAATAATTAATTCATTAAATAGAAATACTAATTTCGTATTTTACTACCGAAAAAGAAAAAAGAAAAATATAAAAATTAATATATTATTGTATCAATAAAGCTTTTTTCCTTCAGCTAATCTCCATTCTCTTGTTTTAATATCAATATTCACATGTTTTTTTTCCTCAAAAATATACTGTGATACATATTGTGATTGAATCATTCACATTAATTATATATCTTATTTTATAATATTGAAAAATTACGCATTTTTATAAACAGATTCTTAAAATAAGGTAGTGAAAATGCAAAATTTCAATAAATTTGTTTTTCATTTGTTTATATATGGTTCGATAGAGCTTGAAAAACTAATCACCAATATATGTATCTTTATTTCGATTCGATCACTGTTTACCAGAGAAAAATGCTGGCAAAGTTGAATGACTAAAAATCAACCTTTATTTGATGAACTATTTTTCCTAGAAAGATTTAAAAATACTTTTTTTTAATCTTTTCTTTGAAATTTTTAAAAGTACTATGTTCTGAATCAGCATGAAAAGCTGAGTAAAACGGTGTTATTCGAATAAATGTAGAGTTGTTAAAACTAAAACAATTTCTTCTAATGTGAACAGAGTCTTTGCACTAAAAATATGTATTGGTGACTATTACTGTAAATCTATCTAGCTTTTCGTGACAAGACATAGAAGCAAGTTTCTTACCTTATTAGAATGGTTAGACCATTGGCTATAACGGTTACAATTTGCTGTTTAAAAATTGTTTTCTATTGTTCAAGAAATTTGTATTTTTAAAAAAAGATGCGAAAGCCAGGGTTTTTGTAAAATCTTTATTTTGGATATATTTTCACTTTTTTGTCTTAATATAGGTAAAAATTCAAGAAGAACTCGAAAGATAGAACCTAATGATTACCAAAGCCTATTCAAACACATTCCAAAACTCATCTTCCATCAAAAGGAAAACAAGCTAATAAGCAATTTTTTATTTTGTTCCTGTACATGTTCGAGAAGGTTTTTTTTGTAGTTTCACCAGAATATAGCAGTTAAAAAGGATTCTTCACAGCTTTATCCTGTTCGGTGAACGCGTTTTTTGTAATTTTTTCTTTCTGTTTAGTCTACATACCCTTCATGTCGTCAAACATGTGATTAGTTGTTTGTGTGTTCACTTGTTCGTTCTGCCTGTATTGTCTGTATCGAAATATGAGTTTACTTCTTTGCAGATTTCTATCTTTGTAAAGCCTGCTACATTCTGTAAATTGTACAGTTTGAGCTTCAATTTTTAGTATGTAACTTCGTTGTAAACAAATACTTTGGCTTTAGCTATTTAAATAGACTCTTCAAATGCAACATTAAATAATTTCTAATATTTTAGTACACCAAAATAAAATAAACGTTGTTTTAAATGAACTATTTATGCTAGCAAACGTTGATAGAACCGAATTCTTTATTTGTAAATGAAAGTTTATGAAAACAGATATTCAGGAGATTAAAGATGAAATTTCTTCAAAATATGTTACACCATTGATATACATCACTGCTCGTCATTTTAATGGAAAATAAGTTGAATAGGATAAGAAAATCGGAGTAATGCCGATTACAGCACATCATAAGTACGGTAGCATTTTGAGATCTAAACTTTTGTTGAATAACTTTCCAAAGATATTAGAGGCTTTAAGAATTATCATCATGCGAAAGTCTATAGCGAAGTTTTGCCAACATACATTTAAGATGTATTAGAATACGTAAGGGGCATCTTCAGTTAAGAAGCATCGATTCGGCTACTTGACATTTCATTTTCTGTTCTTTCCTTCATTTATTCTATTTTCTTCAATTCGTCTTTTTTGAAAATCATAGTAACTTGGAGAGTTTTTGAATAGGTTCTGGTCATCATTAGGTTGTATCTTTCGAATTCTTCTTGAATTTTTACGTATACTAAGACAAAACATTAAAATATATCAAAAAAAAGTTTTCCCAAAAAAGATAATTTTCTTAGTTTTTGCACAATTCTTTTTTAAATATGGAGTTTTCAAAGAGTAGAATAGAGGTTTAAAAAACTAGGTCGTAAACATTGTAGCCCATGGTGTAGCCATTCTAATCAGATAAGAAACTTGCTTCTATGGGTGTGGGTGGGTGTGGGTGTGTGTGGGCGTGGGTGTGGTAGTGGATGTGGATGTGGGTCTTCAACTCACCGACACCCACACCCACACCCACCCCACACCCACACCCACACCCCATCCCACACGCACACCCACACCCACCCACATCCACCTACACTCGCACCCTCAAGATGGATGCTTCTTTTTGAAATGATTATTTGCGCATTAGCATATTATTAAAGATTGAAAAGAAAAGAAACGATTTTCGTTTTTTTCTTTCAGGTTGGATCAGATGGATTATATAGGACAATGAAACTGAATTCATAGGAAAAAAATTGCAATAACTCAATTGTTTTATTTTCTTTTCTGTGTACGGTTGAAATTAACGATGCAGCTGCGAAACTAACACCTTCTTCAAATGTATTCACAATGCTGAAGGAGCGCAACATCTATGAAATTCGAATTCTTCTTCTATTCCATAAAAACAAACCAGAAATGCTGCGAAGTTTGTTTATAAATTACACCCTGACGTTGCTGATGGATTCGTATTTCACTGAAAAATAGTGCAGATGTAATTATGTTTACTTATTTATTGGCTTGAGTTTCAGTCTGGATGGTTGCGAATGAGGGTAGAAATCAGGCTGCGGCTCGATATTTACACGTAAGTGCGGATGTGAATCAGCGTCCCAGTTGGTGTGTATATGTTAGTGTAGCTGCTACTGTGAGTATCTGGGTGTGGATATGTTGAAAGTGCTGTGGATGTGAGTGTGTGAGGAGAGGTGTGCGTGTAGATTTTTTTTATTGTGCTGAATTTTATTCGTGACATCCAAACATTGTTTTGGAAGATTTTTTACAATTTTTGCGGACGCTTACGAATGTATGCAATGGACAAAGATAACGATAACAAACAGAGAAAGAATACAAAGAAGTGAAAACGAACATAATGAAAATCGAATTCGAGCCAATGATGACGATGTAGCGTGCATCGTTGCTATTCTTTTATTTATTCTTCCGATACCGTATATCTTGCCAAGAGATGTGCGTGTATATGTGAATGCGAGTGGATGTGGTTCTGACTCAAGAACAAAGACACCAACACTTCACACTCAACCTACACCCACCCACACTCCACATCTACATCCATACTCAACTTGGCCCATACCCAAAATGAAGAAAAGACGCCATGAAGATATTTTGTATATGAAAGGAATAAAAACAGAAAATGTAAAACTAATATTTTGAATGCACAAAAATTAGAAAAAAAAAGAAAGTTCTTTGAGGGAAGCAAATAGAGCAAAACTAAGTAATTATATAATAACGTTTAATATATTTTGAATTGAAAAAACATGCTCAGAGTTATATTTCATCGCTGTTCGTTTTAATTAGACGTTTGAAGTTGTTGAGAGAGCTATCGGATCTACAAAAATACAAGAACGAGGTTTTCAATCAAAACACCAATCTATGTTTTTCTATATAGATATAAGAAGAAAATCTTAATTTTAAAAAATCAAATACCGATGTTTCATTAATATTGTTTACTTTTACGATGGAACATTCCCAAGTAATACGGCGCGTTTGTCTTCATATTAAGCTCTTAGGTAGGACTTATAGTATAGGAAAAAAATCTAAAAGAGTTCATGGGATTGTGCTTTTGTTCTTAAGTTATGACCATTTTACTATATTTTCAGCCTATTACAGTGTTAAGGAAAAAATCTCCCCAAAAAGTTTTAACTTGAAAATTTCTCCGATATTAGATCTTATAGTCCTTGTTATATCCTGAAAGTTTCAGCTCAAACGAATGGTTTCTTTTGGAAACAGTGCATTTTCAAAAAATCACTACTTTCTGACAACAACAACTTAGAAAATAGTTCATTTTGAGATACTTCATATCTTAACAAAACCTCTTTCATTTGAGCTGAAACGTTCAGGATATAATAAGGACTATAAGATCTATCACTGGAGAAATTTTCAAGTTGAAACTTTTTGTTGAGATCTTTTTAACACTCTATGGTCGACTAGGAACACAGTAAAATAGTCATAATTTGAGAAGAAAAGCACAATGGCACGAACTCTTAGATTTTTCACCTATACTATAAATTCTACCTAAGAGCATAATATGAAGACAAACGGACAGTATTACTTGAGAATGTTCCCTTGTAAATGTAATTTCAATGATTTCATCATGACAACAACTAACAGTCTACAGTTTTCAATACTTCAAAGAAAATGCAATTTTAAACATTCGTCATATTTTCTCAACATTGACAAAAGTTATGATAGGGATGCAATAAATCCTGTTTTTCTGCAAAAAGATTGTAAATCTTCAGTATAAAAACCCTCAAATCCACCCAAAGCTTCGTGTCAGTTATATGCAGTTTTATTGGCTCTATCCAATAGTATTGTTTATTTACTATATCCTATAAGGGATTTGGTAAGAATTTGGTGAGATTATGCACATTTTTCGACAAATCTCATCAAATCTTTCCCAAATCTCTCATGGAATTTGGTAAATAAGCACTACTATCAGATAGAATGAATAAAACTGCAGATAATTAACACAGAGATTTGGCTGGATTTTGGGCTCTCACATATCGAAAATTCATAATCTTTTTGCAGAAAAACAGGATTTATTGCATCCTTAAGTGATTGAGACAGGCATTTTGTTTCAGAGAAGGACTGTTGAATAAAACTTTTTCGTTCGTAGAGTGTCGAAAAATAAGAATCTGTCTCATATTTTGCAAGAAACATTGTGAACAAGCTTTCTGAAGCGTATGGATAATGAAAAATTTCCGTCAAGTGAAATCTCGTTTTTATTTATTTTTAAATGCTTTGAAAAAACGACAGATTATAAACAATATTGATTAAAATAGTGTCAGAGAAAAATACGTAACATGTTTTGTTTTCTCTATTGCTAAAAATTGCATGTCACTATAGTTGTTGTCGTAGTAGAATCATAGATTTTACATTTACTCCTCTTTAATGCTCACAAATACATGTAACGCCTACCACAGGGATCAAATATAACTGTCTATGCACATATCTTAACTTACTTTCATTATCTTCATCGTCATTCTGATCAGCCACTTCTTCTTTTTTTGGTCGAAATAAAAACATGACGACAATAAGTATTAATGAATAAGGCATAGTGTAAAATGTAATATCAAACTAAATTACCGTACTTTATTAAGCAGAGAAAAAAAAAGACAACGAAATTTTTACCCAATTTCTTTTAATATTTGATGTGCATGTATTATCAAATAGAGCTACAATTGACCAAACAAGCATGGATAGATTTGCAATTAAAGCAAATATTAATGTATTTTGAAAATATCGATAAACATTTAATTTATCAATATTGTTCTTTGAATGCAATGTTTTTATTGTTATGGATAAACTCTTTATTATCCAAGAAATAATCTTCATATCCATGACGAATAATACCATACCCGATATCATCTGTATAGTACTTAGTTCACCGAATTTAACATGTAAATGATCCCATCCTTCGATTATGAAAACAATAAAGTAAAGTAGACCGACAACAAATATTTTTAATTTTAATGGTCCTATATGCATTGTAGCTATACCATAACCAAGTGAAATAATAACATAAAGCATACGTAGTACAGTGCGCTGTAAACAGGATAAAAGTTCAGCACTAACTGTAAAAAGAGTAATCTGATACCTAAAAACAAAATTATAAATTAGTTTTATTTATTTCTTTTGTTTTTCTTTGTTGAACTATTTACCCACGTCGATTAACAGTCTCATATTCAACCAAATATGCTGCTTGTTGAATCATACATAAAAATATACTACCACCAATGCAAAAATGAATGTTGTGCAACTTTCGCCAAAATAGTGTATACCAAAGAAGAAATAAAATGGTGTATATAGCATAGATACCAAACATAACACGATACAAAACTAAGGCTGGATATTCATCCGCTGTAATATAACCACCATAGCGATTTTCGATTGATACAATAATAGAAATATCAAAATAAAAACTGAATGATTCAAAAAAGTCTGGTTCAAAAATTTCAATAAAATAATAGCCATTAGTCCATGTTCGTAGTATTTTATCTGCTTGTTCACTTACAGCAAATGTTGATGGTGATTTTGTATTATTTTGTTTTATTTTCGATACATCACCAGCAAAATGATGTTGATCTTCGTCCTTACCTAAGATATTTAAGTTTGAAATTTAGTTAAAAACAAATAGTTAAGTTTACATTGATTTACAACTATTTGTTCCAGTTTTTGTCGTATTAAACTATGAGTGTCATTTGGTGCTGTAATGTTCGTCAATTCATCAACATATAACTCACCCGAATCATCACAATCCACTTGTTGCATTGTAAACATTCTTTGTTCCATTTGATTCCATAGTGTCAAATAATTGGCTTCGTAGGTCGATGGTATCTTTTGTCTGTTTTTTCCCAGTTTTGGGCCATCACGCCAAAAGGAATAAAACAATGGTAATGAACATTCAACAACGCGACCAATTCGGCCATGTATTTGAATTTTTCTTTTGTCATGCTTGTCATTTAACTTACTTTCGGTTTGATTTTGAATTTCCTTTATGTTTGCAAATGATTCATGACAAATAACTTTTAATCGAATTTTTGTATCACTAGTTAAAGCTCGATACACCACTAGAGGTGAAACACTATATGACCAGGGTAAAGTCACGATTCCATCAAGCAGAGTAGTCGATGAATATTTTATTAAAAAGAACAATAATAAATAAGTGAAAAGACATTCTTTCATTATAATTAATCTGCAAAAGAAAAATACTATTTAGAATTGTCAAATGTTCCTTTATTAGGTTCCTTTCTGTTCCCTAACTAATTTGACAACTCTATCCAAATCATTGAATCATAATGAGTACCGTCATAAGAAAACCAACCTTGAAAACAAGGAGGGTGTGGGTGTGAGCGGGTGGGTGGGTGTACACGGATGTGGGTGTGGGTGTGAGTGTGGGTGTGGAGTGGGTGTGGGGGTGTGGGTGTGGGGTGTGTGAGTGTGGGTGTGGGTGTGGTATAAGAATAGATTCATACTCACACCCCCCCCCCCCCCCCACACTCACACCCACCCACACCCACACCCACACCCCACTTCCACCCACACCCTACACTCACCCACACCCCACACCCACATCCACACTCACCCACATCCCACACCCACCCTCTGTAATTTTTGTTTGCAACAGTATAGTGAAAAGAAGAAATGAAATTAGCTGAAGCAGGTTGGTTTCTAATACCATATGCTTGTGCTGTTGTATTTATTCATCGATCCTGACCAAGAGCGTTATTTTAGCATTAAATTAACATATCACCGTAGAAGGATGGGACTGTGGATGAAAAGAAGACTCATGCTCATATCCACATCTATACTCAGGTGACCATAGTACAATATTTTGCTTTTTATACACGTAACTTTTTCCAAGATGCAGCTAATTTCTGATAGAAGATGAAAGTTCTCCTGCCCTTAAAAACAATTAAAAGTACTGGTCTGAGATAGTCTCTCGAGGTCTGGACGGAAACAGGAATAGTTGATCAGGCAGATTACTAATCTGCTGATTTTTTTTCCGAACACTCTTTCTTCCAAAACCCGCTACGGTGATATGCTAATTTGATGCAAACACTACACCATTAGAATTAATGGCGTTAGCATAAATGTATGCTTTGGTGTTAGCATTAAATTAACATTATAATTAATGCTAATACATAAACTACCATACCTGTAGTGTTTTTTACCAAGTATTTGGAGGCATTTCATGTTGGGTGGGAGTGAATGTAGGAGTAGGTTGAAATCGATACGTCTATTTGTATCCAGCCTCACAGTCTTAAATCTGATAACTACACCAAAGTTTTAATGTGGCTACTTGGTGGATTATCGTGCTTCTCTATTCTTAATAACACATAACGAAAAAATAAAATATCTTGAGGGTGTGGTTGTAGATGCGTGGGTGTAGGTGTGCGTGGATGGGTGTGAGTGTTGGTGTGTGGGTTGTGAGTATGGGTGGAGGGTGTGGGTGCGTGGGTGGATGTGTAGGTGTGTGTAGGTGCGTGGGTGTGTGTGTAAGGTATGTAGGGTGTGGGTGTGTGGATGTAAGAAGAGAAAAAAAGCACCCATGTCCATAGAGTCACAGGCGCACCCATACACTCACACCTATACACCGACACCCTCACACACATCCACACTCTAGGTCTTCTACAATAAGCTAAAATCTTACTTCCCGTTTTTGAGTAGTAGACACAATCAAAACACTCGATTGGATACTGCGTCTGAGTTACGTAGAGAAGAACATAACCATGGTGAAGAAAAATTATGATGAAAAGGAGCAAAATCCATAATAGTAATCTCATTTTACGATTTGACATTTTGAGATGAATACGACTATTTTAGTTGATGGAATAATGTCCATTTCAGAGATAAATGGCCGTGGATATTTTTCGAATAACTTTTGACAATAATGAGATAGAGACTCGTGGTTGTCACTATCGGAAAGAGACCATGGAAATGCATCGAACCATATATAGAAAGATTTTTCTAACGACTCTCCTGAAGGTTTTAGTCAAACGTTTTCAAAGAATTGCGTTTTTCTCCTACGTTGAAAAATTAATTTTTCTATCGAAATACCACAAAAACCTCCGTTTTTCGACTATTTTGTTGAAAAACTGGGTGGAAAATTGCACTTCAATGGCTAAAATATGTTGTTGATAGTATAGTCCATCCAAAAAATCCGTGCATGTGACTGTTTTTTGAATAACTCGAGAAAGCAAACAGCTAGAAACCTGTAGTTTTCATCAATCGAAAGAGGAGGAGTTAAGGCGTCTTTTTCTCTGATAATGTGTCAGATGAAATTCTTTTAACACTGGTCATCTTTGAAAAATAAAGCAAATAATGCATGAGAGTAACTTACTATACACATGAAGGTTCTATTATGACCTTTAATTTAGATTGAGGGACTTCGGATCTATAGTTCGAAACATAATACACTTTCTTGCAATTCATTACATATTCATCGAAGTATCCAGCTGTTTTGACAAAAAGTGCAAAAACAGTAAACAAATCAGGAAATTTCCTTATTATTTGCACATGTAAATACACGATTTCATTTGGTCCACATTATAATGCAATTAGAGAGTCATTTGCGTTGCATATTGAACTACAGATCTGAAGTTCCTCTATCTAAATTTAAGGTCATAATGGAAACTTCATGTGTATAGTAAGTCACTCTCATGCATTGTTTTCTGTATTTTTCAAAGATGATCAGTTTTAAAAGAATTTTATCTGACATATTATCAGAGAAAAAGATGACCTAACTCCTCCTCTTTCGATTGGTGAAAACCGCAGGTATCTAGCTGTTTGCTTTCTCAGGTTATTCAAAAAACAGTCACATACACAGATTTTTTGGACAGACTATAGTTAGGAATAGAGTCTTTGCATATTTTTTCTAGCTCTTCAATTGGTGGTTCAATCACACTCCTCAAAATCAATAAATTAATATCGTAATCATCAGATGTATTCTCTTTTCTTTGAAACCTTACATAAAATCTTTAGAAAAGTCATTAGAAAAATTTTTCAATATATGGTTCGATGCATTTTTATCTGATCTTTCCAACGATAAAAACCGCAGATCTCTATCTCATTCCTATCAAAATTTATTCGAAAAATATCCACGGTCATTTATCTCTGAAATGGACACTAATACAAATCTAATCTATTTTTTCCCCTCACTAGTGGCGTAACCAAAGTAGGGTATGAGCGGGCCAGTCCACTCACCGGTAATTTTTAAAAAAGCAAATTTTTTATAACAGTATTTATAATGGGGTATCTAAATGGGATATGAGTCGGCAGCCCCCCTTCACACAAGGTCTCTGTCCATACACCGATAGGAAAAATGTTAAATAAATACTTAGACATGCTCATTATCATAGCATAGTAAAGTGATTTTGTAAGAGAGTGGGGCGACGCTCACCCACCCGTACTTTTCTGGTTACGCCACTATCCTTCACCATCTAAATTTATTTGCACCTACATTGCACTCTGTAAAATGTGAATGAGTGAATTATTAGCAATCATTCTACACTCATAAATCATTGATATTGTCATTCTATTGAATAAATATGCTAGTGCAAGTAGTTGAGGCCCATAAAATAATTGTTAACACATCTAGCTATTAATTAACACTTCAAAACTGAAGTTTAGCGATTTTCAGATAATGAATTTTCTATAATCGTAGAAAAAATTTATCTCTTAGCCGTATGGTACATGCACCAAAACTAAATTATCAGATCGCTAGAATCTTGCACTCTAATGCGACATTGAGTTATGTACTCTAATTTTTGCTCTAGTAGAAAGTGTCATATCAAAAATGTGATCTTAATTGTATTGACAAATTCGTACAAAGAATCATGGACTTATGGCTTCAACATTTAGAAACGAAAGGAAAAAAACTAATATGAATAATTCTTAAGTTTTCTTCTTTTACATCTAAACGAAAAAAAAAATACCTTGAAATTCGAATATATTACGCAACGTACATTATAGCTACGCCATACTGTGAAATTCTCAGTTCGGGTGATGATAGTTTTAGTTCAATCTGAACATGTCAAATTACTCAGTTAATAAGAATAAAACAACAAAAAGTAAAGTACATTCGTATAATTTGAAATTAGATTCAACGAAGAAAGGAAAACTCTATAATTGAAATGCATTCGAGTTACTTACTGTATTGTGGCGTACTTGAAGTTCCGTCTTTCTTTCTCAGATTTATTTTAGACTTTCAGTATATACGCCTCGAAAAATAAGCTTTAATCTGTATTTTCGAAATATCCTTATCATAGCGGCGTATTTTTTTAAAAATAATCATATATTCTGAAAGTGCATGGAGTCTTCTATCAGTCAATATACTGGCCGTTTCGTTTGAATATCTATGTATATATATTACTAAAAAAACTGAGTGTAATGAAGGCATCCTCATGTCCAGATTCCCACAGACTTTATTTTGTCACAGTCACCAAAACTAAGTTTTTAATTTTTTCATCATTATAAAATTATCTATTGGAAAAAGTAACTATATATTCTGATAGAGCTTGAAATTCTCTATCACTCTCTGTATATTTACTTATTTCATTATATTAGTCTATCAAAAAAAAAATTTCAGTAGAATGAATGTATCGTCAATTGGCAAATGCCAACAATGCGCGTTGCTCGTTACTTGTGGAGTTCCACCTTGAAATTTATTATTCTTATGGAAAAATTTATTTTTGAAAGACAATCCCAGATTGGGTGTGGGTGTGAGTGGGTGTGGGTGTGGGTGTGGGTGTGGGTGTGGGTATGGGTGTTGGTGTGAG